GGCTCAGACAGGGAAGGATGGAGACTCAGAGACAGGGGAGGATGGAGACTCAGACAGGGGAGGATGGACAGTCAGAGAGGGGAAGATGGAGACTTCGGGGAGGATGGACAGAGGGGGGAGGAAGGAGACTTAGGGACGGGAGGATAGACAGAGGAGGATGGAGACTCGGGAGGATGGAGACAGACATGGGAGGACAGACAGAGAGGGGAGGATGGAGACTCGGGAGGATGGACAATCAGAGAGGGGAAGAAGGAGACTCAGAGACGGGAGGATAGACACTCAGAGGGGAGGATGGAGACTCAGAGACAGGGGAGGATGGAGACTCCAGAGCATGGAGAATCAGAGAGGTGAAGACTTAGACTCAGACAGGGGAGGAAGGAGACTCAGAGAGATGGGAGGATAGACAGTCAGAGAGAAGGGACGATGGAGACTCAGAGAGGGGAGGATGAAGAGTCAGAGATGGGAGGAAGAAGAATCAGAGAGGGGGAAGATGGACACTCGGGAGGATGGAGAGTAAGAGAGAGGAGGATGGAGACTTGGGAAAATGGAGTCAGAGGGGAAGATGGAAACTCAGAGAGGGGAGGATGGAGAGTCAGACAGGGGAGGATGGAGACTCAGAGGAGAGGATGGAAAGTCAGACAGGGGAGGATGGAGACTCAGAAAGAGGGGAGGATAGAGACGGGGCAGAGACTAGGGGAAGCAGGATAGAGACTGGTGTTGGGGGAGAGACTCAGGGAAGATGGAGACTCACAGAGAGGTGAGGATAGAGCCTGGGAGGGACTCAGGAAGCATAGAGACTGTGGGGCAGAGTCAGCAAGGGGAGGGCATGGACTTGGGAGGGCAGAGACTCAGAGACAGAATGTTCCCATTAGGGACATGGTGTTTGCAGGGAGCTGCCTCCCCCAGCCCCTGCCCCCTCCTTCACTGCCAGACTATGATGAGAGAAGCCACCTGCATGATGCCTTCACCCAGATGACCCATGGCCTGCAGGAGCTGGCTGCTGCCCAGGGTGAGCGTGTGGGGGTGGGGAGATGGGACACGCGGACTTGAAGCCTCCAAGAGATGGGTATGTGGGAGGGCCCGGGGCAGAGGAAGGAGGCCCCAGAGTTGGGCAGTCATCTGGGACGGGGAAAGCTCGGAAGCCATGAGCTCAGCTACTTGACGAAGCGGAGGCTGAAGGCAGCTCTAATAGCCAGAGGCTAATGCTGGCGAGTGGGGAAAGGACGCTGCAGAAATTGCCTAGAGAAGTCCAGACGGGTCGGGTAGGCTCTGACGTGGCCGCACGGCAAACACTCTTACTGGTGATGAAGTTCTAGGTGGGTTACTGCCCCTCTCCTGTCCTCAACTCACCCATCTGTAAGGTGGGACAATCTCCTTGCCTCCTAGGATGGCCACAGAGCTCACTGTGGGGTTTGGGGCTGCCTGATGAGGCTGACCTCAGGGAGGGCATCTTCCTCTAGGACAGAACTCACCCACACAGTCTCACTCACACACATTCACACAAACACATTGACCCACACACTCACACTCTTTCACACACAGCACTCACGCAAACATACATGCTTTCACACACTCAGACACACACACACACACACACACAGATTTCTTATAAAGCGATTCCACATTTTTGAGGTGTGAGGCGATTAGAGGGCAGGAAAACAGGAACAGCAGAGTAGATCGCTCAAGTGACAGTAGTGAAGAGAGATGGGGTGTGACCGCCCTGGTGAGACAGGCACACGTGACAGCCTTGAGGTGTGTGGCCGTGCGAAGCGACCTCAGGGCCGGGGGCCACGCATGGCCAATGGGCAGCGTTGGCAGTAATCATGCCAGGTCACCACGGCCACAATCCCCATGACGTGCCACAGCCTGGAACTATGGAAGCTCAGAGTTGCAGGAGAGAGGCCACAGAGCCCTATGCTGTGTCATAAACTGGCTTCCTCTTAGCTACAGGAGCTCAGGGCTTATTCCCACACCCACAGTCACTCCCTTTGCTTCCTGCTTTGCCCACCAAGCATTTTGTCAAAGATCCCCAAAAAGGGGAGGATCCCATCCCCCAGGGGCATCCAGGGCCAGCCTGGAGAAGGCTTCAGCTGTGGTTCCCCCGACCTCCACCCCAAAGGGAGACCTAAGGCCCTAAAGCTCTCTATGGGCGGGTGGTTCAGGATTCCAGGAAATGCCCTTTCTCCCCACGTGGCCTGTCTCGTCACAGAAGCTTTTGAAAAGATCAGGAAACTCTGGATCTGGGAGTGGAAGTCATCTGTGGGGCCGGCTGTGGGACAAACTTGGAGGGGAGAGAAAAGAGACTGGGTGAGGGTCCAGGCCAGAGCGGAGGCCCGAGTCGGGGCTGGGGCTCTGAAGGTGGAGAAGAGGGGCCAGGGCCAGAGAATGAGATCTGCTGGGCTGTTTGGGGAGGCATAGAGGACAGCGTCCGAGACAGGTCCCGCTCCATGCCTGTTGGGCCACGCGTCATCACTGAAATAAGGAGGCTGAGAGAAAGAGCTGGGGACAGATTATGAACTGGATTAGAGTGTAGTGACTTTGAAAGGTCCCAGGGACGTTTAGGAGGCAGCTAGATACCCAGGTGCAGAGTTCAGCAGAAAAGTCAGAGTTTTGAGTCTCTGCCCTCAGGGCACTGGGGAGCCACCGGAGGAATGTGAGCAGTGAAATAGGGGCAGCTCTGAGTGTAGAAAGAGCCCCCTAGGGTCGTGTGGAGGATGGACCAGAGGGAGAGTCTGGAGGCTAGGAGAAGCTGGTGCAATACGTTCAGTGATATTTACTGAAGGTGCAAACCACCTGTCCTCGGGTTGCTTATATTGGGGTGGCGTCTGGGAAGACAGACAATAAACATAATCGATAAAATATCTTACTATCTTAGTATATCAGTTGGTGATCCCTGCTGTGGAGGAAAACAGGGAAGGAGAAGAGAAAGGGGTAATAGTTTTATTGTCTTATTTTTTTGGAGATAGGGTCTCACTTTGTCACCCAGGCTGGAGTGCAGTGGCGTGATCATAGCTCACTGCAGCCTTGAACGCCTGGGCTCACGCGATCTTCCTGCCTCCGCCTCCCGAGTAGCTGGCACTACAGGCAGCGTGCCACCATCTTTGGCTAATTAAATTTGTAATGATGGTGTCTTGCTATGTTGCTTGGGTTGTTCTCAAGCTCCTGGGCTCAAGTGATGTTCCCACCTTAGCTTCCCAAAGTGCTGGGATTATAGGCATGAATCACCATCTCTTGCTGGGTGATAATTTTAAATAGTTTGGTCAGGGGAGGTGGAAATGACAGGGTCCAGTTGAGACCTGAACAAGGTGACAGTGACAGCCATGCAGATAATCTGGGGAGAGAGATTTTTCAGGCCACAGGAAATAGCTAGTACAAGAGCCTGGGGCCCGTGGGGCTGGAGTGAAGGTGAAATGTGAGAGATAGCAAGGGGCCACCTCCCATAGATCCTCATAGACAGAGGTGGTTCTCAAGCCCCAGCATACATCAGAATCCCCTGGGAGCTTATTAAAAATGCAGATTTCTGTCAAGATCCCAGGCAATGCTGATGATGCTACTCTGGGAACACTCAGAATCGCTGTTGTATGTCCTTGGAATGACTTCTGTCTTTTGCTCTTGAAATGGGGGAGCTATTGGAGGAGTTTACACCAAGACACAGGATCTGACCTGGGGTTTAACAAGATCTCTCTGGCAGCCGTGTGGGGCCTGGGCAAAGGCAGGAAGACTTCCAGTGAGAAGCTGGCTCGTCGTGGGTCAGACAAGTCACAGTGGTCCGGGGAGACCAGATGAGGTCCGAGCAGGGCTGGGTGGGCACGAGGATTTGACTGTGTGCCAGGCTTGCCCATGCGTGTGAGAGGCTGTGTCTGCCACACAGAGAGTCATTCATATGAAGTATCCTCCTAAAGGATATTCTCGGCCAGGCGCAGTGACTTACACCTGTAATCCCAACACTTTGGGAGGCTGAGGCGGGTGGATCACGAGGTCAGGAGTTCAAGATTAGCCTGGCCAAGATGGTGAAACCCTGTCTCTACTAAAATACAAGAATTAGCTGGGCGTGGTGGCAGGTGCCTGTAATCCCAGCTTCTCAAGAGAGTGAGGCAGAGAAAGTTGCTTGAACCTGGGAAGTGGAGGTTGCAGTGAGCTGAGATCACGCCACTGCACTCCAGCCTGGGCCAAGAAGCAAGACTCCATCTCAAAAAAAGAAAAGAAAAGAAAAGAAAGGATATCTTCTACCAGCCCTGTGAGGCTGGGTTTTATAGCCCCACTTTTCAGATGGGAACCCTGGAGCTCATCTCGACAAGAACAGTAGACCTGGGGTATATTTGGAGATAGACTGGACCAGATGTAGATGGGTGAGGGCAATGGGAAGAATCAAGGATGACTTTTGAGTCTCCTCCAGATGGAGGAGCAGGGAGTTAGAGGAGCTGACGTAGGCTGACTGCCTTTTGATGATCCCAGGTGGTCCTGTTTGTGTAGGTGTATATATAATCCATAGAGTGGATGACGTGGTACAGATTGCATGCAGTATGCCACATGCAATGATTAGGTATGGAGGCTCTAGAGCCTGACCACCAGGGTCAAATGTAGCCATGTGATTTTGGACCACTTCTCTAATTTCCCCATGCCCCAGTTTCCCCATCTCGAACTTGGAGATGGCAATCGTAAGTTTTCCAGTCTTCTCTAACCCTCACTACGTGCCAGACGCCACTCTACACGCTTAGAGACATCATGCCATACAATCATTAAATCATGGTCCTCATGGTTCTATGTGGCTGCTAGAGCTCCAGCCATCAAAACAAATTTTTATTTAAGGATTCAGCCTCTCCCCAACCCTGCGATATAGACACTGCTCCTGTGATACAGACACTGCTATCATCCCCATTTTATGAATGAGGAAACTGAGGAAAAGGAGGGTGGAGTCACTTGGTCATATGGGGAGGAGGGCTTGTGATTGATACTCAGATTTGAAACAGGTATGCTCAAGACAGAAGCGCCAGGACTCAGAGCCAGATGTTCTAAATCAGAGTCGGAGCTCCTGATGATATGCAGCTCCTCTAGGGAAGACTTTACAACACCCACCCATGCCTCTTTATGGCCCACTTGATATAACCCAGGCTCCTTGGCCTGTTTGGAACGTTTCACTCCATTCGTACTCCCCTGGTGGGTTATAAACCCACCCCACCACCATGGCTTACTTGGTATATCCCACAGTCACCCTTTCCCTGAGTCATTTGATTTGGCCCATAGAAATTCTTTGGATGGCTCCTCCAACATCCTGGCCTCTCATTTGTGCACCCCAGTCTGACCACATGCTCCTGATCATCCTGCCATCTTAAGACCACACTCCTGCTCTGTGGCTAAGGAGAGACCACTAAGTCCTCATTTGGAACCCACTTCTTGGCATGAGTGCCTTCTCTCTCCAAGTGTATATCCAACCATCATTGTTTCAGCCACTCTCTTGCCAATATCCTTAGTTCCCTCCCTTTTTGTATGGCTTCACATCACAGAGGAAGCTTTCCCCTGTCCCTGCAATGGCTTAAGCCAATAGGAAGTTTACCTCTCCTATACAAAGTAAGTCTTGAGGTAGGCACTTAAGGTTAGTATGGCACCTCCATTTCTTGGGGACCCAAGCTCCTTCAAGACTTAATACCCAGGGAATCGCCCTTGTCCTCATGGTCCTGTGTGGCTGCTAGAGCTCCAGCCATCAAAACAAACTTTCAGGCAACAGGATGCAAATTTTCAGGCAGCAGAAGGATGAGGGAATCAATAAGATGGCACCACCTTCTCTTTTTTTTGTTGTTGTTTTTGTTTTTTAGAGACAGGGCCTTGCCCCGTTGCCCAGGCTGGAGTGCAGTGGTGCAATCATAGCTCACTGTAGCCTCGAACTCCTGGGCTCAACCATCCTCCCACCTCAGCTTCCCGCTAGCTAAGACTACACGCACATGCCATCACACTTGGCTAATTTATAAAAATTTGCTTAGAGATGGCGTCTTCATATGTTGCCCAGGCTGGTCTCAAACTCCTGCCCTCAAGTGATCCTTTCACCCCAGCCTCCCGAGTAGCTGGGATTCCAAGTGCAGTACCACCTCCCTTTGAAGGCCACTTCCTGTGACTCACTTATAACACATCCACTTACACCTATGGGTACAGCTTGGTCACATGACCACAACTTCAAGGAAGGCTGGAAGATGAAGCCTTTTGTCTGTGTTCTGTAGACATAGACACACAGATATTTAGAGGCAATGGACAATCCCTGTGTATTGGTGTGCTAGGACCACTGTAAGAAAGTACCGTAGACTGGGTATCTTGAACAACAGAAGTTTCTGCCTTCCAGAAGTCTGAGGTCAAGGTTTTGGTGTCAGCAGGGTTGGTTTCTTCTCAGGCCTCTCTCTCTTTGGCTTGTAGATGCTTTCTTCATATGTCCCTGTGTGCATGTCTGTGTCCTAATTTCCTCTTCTCGTAAGGACACCAATCATACTGCATTACGGCCCACCCTAATGACCTCATTTTAACTTAATCACCTCTTTAAGAACCAAATACAGTCACATTCTGAGGTACTGGGAGCTAAGACTTCAACAAACGAATTTGGGGGTAGGGGCACAATTTAGCCCATAAAATCCTGCCACAATCCTAATTTCCACAAACCACCATGAGATCAAGCCAGCTGTCCACTTTTTTTAATTCCACTGGAAAAAGCCACAAACCGTTACAGTTTGGAGGCCATTACAGTGGTCAAAACACAAGGTCAGACACAGTGGCTCACACCTGCAACCCCAGCACTTTGGGAGGCCCAGGTGGGGAGATCACGACGTCAGGAATTCGAGACCAGCCTGGCCAACATGGTGAAACCCCATCTCTACTAAAAATACAAAAATTAGCCAGGCATTGTGCTGGGTGCCTGTAATCCTAGCTACTGGGGAGGCTGAGGCAGGAGAATCACTTGAACCTGGGAGGTGGAAGTTGCAGTGGGCCAAGATCATGGCACCTGTACTCCAGCCTGGGCAACAGAGCGAGACTCTCAAAACAAAAACACCTACAAAGACAAAGAACATACAAGGGTAAAAGACGTATTCTATAAATATTATGGAAATGAATATAGGCTGGAGACTACAGAGAATTGGCCGACGTGTGCCCCATTTCGAGGGAGTGGCTGCTACTAATCTCCAGCTAATTGCCGCCTTATGGAAATGTGATCTCTGTGTTACAGCTCTTCCAACTTTTTAAAAAAGAGATGCCAAACATTTATGTGACATTCCAAATTTTATATGTTGGTGACTGGTTCAATTTCTTTTAAACACTTTCCAGGCCAAATATCACACATCCCAGGGATGGATTTGGGCCATAGGCCACCAGGTGGGGTCTCCAGTTCCAGTTGGATCCTGGAATTCATTCTACAAATACTTAATGAGCTCTCCTAAGATTCAGCGCCCTCTCCAGGATTCAGAGGACACGGCGCTAAGGAAGAATGTGTTTACTTATGAGACAGACATAAATGATCATCATCTATATATAAATATATGTAATTGCAGACAGACGAGAGCTAGGAATGAAATGATTGCGATGAGAGACAAAAACAAAGAACTTGATTAGATTTGTGGTGATGGAAGGATGATTATGAGACAGAAAAATATGCTAAAAGCAGAAGCCAGCATGTGCAAAGGCCCTGAGGTGCTATGGAATGTGGTGGTCTTCATATTAAAGGAAATGAGGCTTGGCTCAATAGCTCACGTCTGTAATCCCAGCACTTTGGGAGGCCGAAGTGGGTGGATCACTTGAGGTCAGGAGTTTGAGACCAGCCTGGCCAACATGGTGAAATGCTGTCTCTTCTAAAAATACAAAAATTAGCTGGGCATGGTGGTGCACACTTGTTGTCCCAGCTACTTGGGAGGCTGAAGCAGGAGAATCACTTGAATGCAGGAGGCAGAGATGGCAGTGAGCAGAGATTGCACCACTGCACTTCCAGCCTGGGTAACAGGGTGAGACACTGTCTCGAAAAATTAAAATAAAATAAAAAAGGAAATGAAAGGTGGGCACTAGTTTTGGGACAGGGAGGGAGGGGAACTAGGCCAAACCATGTAGGACCTAATAGGCCTTTGTGACGAATTTGATCCTTATCCACCCCTTCTCCCCTCAACAAGCTACATGCAGGTGATGTCCAGGAGGGCCGCCATCCTGGAGAGATTCAGAAAGCAGAAGAAAGGCGACTTAGGGACTTGTTAGCCTTCAAGTACACAAGGTGGGAGGAAATGAGAGGAAGGAGCAGAGGATATGGTAATAAGAGAGACATAGGGGTGGAGAGGAGCTGGGGAAGGGCAGACACCATGACAGCACATCCTGTGAGCTAGCGCCAGCCTAGCCCTAGCGATGCTAGATCAGAATGCTGGACCAAGGACCAAGCCCTAGGGGAAGGATTTTACTACATAGGCCGCCCTCCCCTTTACTCTCCAGGATCCTTTGAGGTTGCCTTCCCTGATGCGGCGGAGAAAATGAAGACGGTCATTACACAGCTTAAAGAAGGTAAAACAGACTCCTTATCTCCTCCCCCAGACAAACACAGAATTGGAAAACCCCACTCCTGGCTGGGCATGGTGGCTCACGCCCGTAATCCCAACACTTTGGGAGGCTGATGTGCACAGATGACTTGAGGTCAGGAGTTCGAGACCAGACTGACCAACATGGTGATACCCTTCTTCTAAAAATACAAGAATTAGTCTGGCGTAGTAGCGCATGCCTGTCATCCCATCTACTCAGGAGGCTGAGGCAGGAAAATCACTTGAACCCTGGAGGTGAGGTTGCTGTGAGCGGAGATCTTGCCACTGCACTCTAGCCTGGGTGACAGAGCAAGACTCTGTCTCAAAACAAAACAAAACAAAACCCACTTCTGAGATCCCGATCCATTCTCCTGGCCCCATCTCTGAGCCTCAGGCCTTGGGGATCGACTCCCCTGTGGACCACTGTGGATTTGGCCTCACCCCTTCGATGGAAGGTTTCCCCTCCAGCTAGGAGCAGCCATGGGATGTGTCTCTGTGAAAGGTTTCCTCTCCTACTGATCCCGTTTCCGGGACTACTTCTAGCCCACCTTCTCAGTGGAATACAACTGGACTGCCCACCCCCGTCAGGCCCTCCAGAAGGCCAGTGTCTCCCCCTAACCCCTAAGTGTACGGCTGGCGGCTGGCAGCGGGCCTGGCCCTGACCCCTCCTAGTGCAAAGCTCAGGCCTGGCCCCGCCCCCAGGTGGAACCCGGCCGGCTTGACCCCGCCCCCAGGTTATGACTGCAGCCCCCCTCAGAACAAAGCGTCCAGCCATGTAACAACCGACAGGGAAGCATGGGGTGAGGGGTTCTTCCCACGACCTTTAAGTGGTGATGTTTCCTCTCTCTCTACAGCCCAGGCCTGCATCCCTCCCTGCGGTAAGGAGTTCATCTAAAAGTTGGAATGGTCGGGTAAAGGAGGTGGTCGGGGCCGAAACCTAGGACATCAGGTGGGGGAAATCGGGTGGGCTTCAAATCCTTAGGAGACCAACAAGAGCCCCGGAGAAAAGGAAGTAAACCAGGTATTGCTCTAAATCCTCATAGAAGGAGGGTGTGAGAGCCGAAGAAAACCAATAGGAATCCTAGAGGGCAGACGGGAGTGAGAGGCAGCTAAGGACTGCAGGTTCGGCGGGTTTAAGATGCTACCTGGCCAATGGACCCCCGGGAGCTGTATGGATCTCAAAAGGGCCAAAGGGCCCTGGGCAGGTGGCACCCAGACCCAGCGTTCCCACTCCACAGGTCTCCAGGAGTTTGCCCGGCGTTTCCTCTGCAAAGGGTGCTACTCCAGGGTCTGTGACCTCCCACTGGACTGCCCAGGTGAGGGGCAGGGCTTTGGGGTGTAGGGGACCAACCTGAGAAACCGGACCAGAGCACCACGGCGAGGCCAGGAGTGGGCGGGGCCCAGCGAGTGATCCATGCTCTGTCTTCAGTTCAGGATGTGACAGTGACTCGAGGCGATCAGGCTATGTTTTCTTGCATCGTGAACTTCAAGCTGCCAAAGGAGGAGATCACCTATTCCTGGAAGTTTGCAAGAGGAGGTGTGAGTCGGGGCAAAGGTGGCGCAAAGGGTTTAGACGGGCGAGTTAGGCTTCACTATGGGTTGGGGAGTCAGCATGCGGGGGTGAGACTCTGGGGAGCTGCGTCTAGACACAGGCAACAGGAAGAGGAGGGCCCCGGGATTTAGGGGAGAGCTCGAAGATCAGAATGCAGGACCAAGGACCTGGCGCGGTGGCTGGCTCCTGCAATCCCAGCGCTTTGCGAGGCCAAGGCAGGAGGATTGCTTGAGCCCAGGAGTTCGAGACCAGCCTGGGCAACATACTAAGACCCCACCTCTACTAAAAAAATTTTAAAAACAGCCAGGCGTGGTGGTACACGCCTATAGTCCCAGCCACTGGGGAGGCTGAGTGGGAGAGTTGCTGAAGTCCAGGAATTCGAGGCTGCAGTGAGCTATAATCGTGCCACTGCACTGCAGCCTGGGGGCCAGAACGAGACCTTGTCTGGAAATATATAAATAAATGCAGGTTCTAGGGGCAGGTTGTGCGTAAGGGTTTAGGTAGCGTGGGGAAAGTGCGTTTAGGGCTGGGGAGCAAGTAGAAGGCTCGGGGCGGGGTCAAGGGTCAAGGCTCAGGGCCGGGACTCGAGGGGGCGTGGTCTGGCTCGGGGATGGGGCTTGTAGGTTACCCTTTGGCAAGCCGAAGTTGAGAAGCTTAAGCCCGCGGGTCCCGCAGCTCCGGACTCAGGACCTGTCCTATTTCCGAGATGTGCCGCGGGCCGAAGGATACCTGGCGCGGATCCGGCCGGCGCAGCTCACGCACCGCGGGACGTTCTCGTGCGAGATCAAGCAAGACCAGCGCCCCCTGGCGCGGCTCTACTTCTTTCTTAACGGTGGGGCGGGGCGCGGCGGCGGGAGCGAGCGGGGCGGGGCGAGGGGCGGGGCGAGGGGCGGGGCTCGTGCCCGTCTGACGTGCGCGCCCCCGCAGTGACGGGTCCGCCCCCGCGCGCGGAGACAGAGCTGCAGGCCTCGTTCCGGGAAGTGCTGCGCTGGGCCCCGCGGGATGCCGAGCTGATCGAGCCCTGGAGGCCCAGCCTGGGCGAGCTGCTGGCCAGGCCCGAGGCTCTGACGCCGAGCAACCTGTTCCTGCTTGCTGCCCTCGGGGCCCTCGCATCAGTGTGTGCCACCTTGTTGGTGTGGTGAGTGCTCAGGACCCCGGAGTCCCAGCCTCTAGCTCCCCGCTTTCTCAGACCCCACCGGGAGGTCTGGGTTCCCAGCAACCTACAGCCCAGGAGGTCGGGCTCTCAGCCCCTCCTCCCTTACATCCAAGAGTCCAGGCCCCCAGCCACTCCTCCCGCAGACCCAGGAGTCCCCCAGTCCCCTCCTCCTGCAAATCCAAGAATCCAGGCCCTCAGGCCCCCCCTCCTCCCTGAAATCCAGAAGCCCAGGCCCCAGGCACCCCTCCTTCAGAGCCAGGAGTTCAGGTTACCAACCCCTCCTCCCTCAGACCCAGGAGTCCAGGTCCCTAGTCCTACCTCAGGCAGACCCAGAAATCCATGCCCCCCAGTCCCCTCCTCCCTCAGATCCAAGAGTCCAGGCCCCCAGATCCCTCCTCCCTCAGACCCAGGAGTGCAGGCCCCCAAGCCCCCTCCTCCCTCAGACCCAGAAGCCCAGGCCTCAGCCCCTCCTCCCTCAGACCCAAGAGTCCAGGCCCCCAGCCCCTCCTCCCTCAGACCCAGGAGTCCAGGTTCTGTCCACCTTTTCCACCCAGGTGTCCAGGCTTCCAGGACCTGGATTTTAGCCACCAGCCCTTCCTGTTACACACGTACTTGTTTGTCTCCCCAGGATGTTCTTTGAATGGTACTGCAGTGGCAGCTAACAAAGGTATCTCTTTCCTGCTTCCCTATCCTATTTCCATCCTGAAAATAAAGAATATGTTTCAACTCTGGATTGTTTGGTCTCTGAAGGTGGTCACTACTAACTCAGGAGGTGCAGCAAGCCCACACATGCCCAGATGAATACGGCCCCCATAATGACAGTGATAGCCATAGGTATCACAGGGCAGGTTTCTGCACTGAGGGTTTAGGTGGGAACCCAGATAACCCCTCAAATTACTGGCTGTCTCCTTGACACTTCCACCTGCAGAAGGCAGCCCTAAATAGAGTCCTTGATGTTGTCCTCAGAGGCTCTTTCTCCCCAAGGCTTTCTTCCTACCAGAAAGAGCACCACTATCCACCTAGCAGTTCAAACCAGAAACCTAGGAATCTGATTTCTCCTCCACTTCAAACTCATTTTCATTTCCAACTCTGAAGACTTTTTAACTTCTACATATCTCCTGAAGCTGCCTTCTCTGTGGTCCCAGTCACCCCCACCTCTTGTCTGGATCACGGACCAGCCTCCCTGCCTCTCCTTGGCTCTCCCTACTATAGCCCATTCTCTACATACCAGCAGGACTTGTTTTATTTTATTTTATTTTTTTTGGAGACAGGATCTCACTCCAAGGCCCAGGCTGGAGTGCAGTGGCGCGATGTCAGCTCACTGCAACCTCTGCCTCCCTGGTTCATGTGATTTCTCCTGCCTCAGCCTCCCAAGTAGCTAGGATTACAGGTCTGCGCCGCCATGCCTGTATTTTTAGTAAAGATGGGGTTTCGCCATGTTGGCCAGGCTGGTCTCGAACTTCTGACCTCAAGTGATCACCTGCCTCGGCCTCCCAAAATGCTGAGATTACCGGCGTGAACCACCCACACCTGGTCGAATTGCACACTTTGAATGGGTGAACTCTGTGGGAGAGAAATTGGAGCCAAATATGGACAAGTGTCCCAAAGAAATTTGCTATTAACAGAAAGAAATGGAACGGTAGTTTATGGGGAAGCTGAGGTCAAGAGAGGGGGGGTCTTAAAAATGGGAGAGTAGCAATATGTTTGGATGCTGATGGAAAAGGGTCAAGGGGAAAGGAGAATTGATGATTAGGTAGCAAGAACTGCTGGAGTGAAGTCTTTGAGCAGACAAAGAGGTCATAGGGTCTGTTGCCCTAACAGAAGAGGTTGGCATTGGCTTGGAGCACAGACAAGTCACCCTCCGCAACAGGAAGAAGGTGGAGTGTATGGGCATAGGGCAATTGAGTGGGAAGACCTGGAGATGGGGACTCCAACAAAAGTTCTCTTTTTTAATCCCTGTTTTCTCAATGAGACAGGAAGCCAGCTAAGGGGCTAGGGGAGGAGGTGCTGGAGGTTTGAGGAGAAAAGGGATGAGTTAGCCTTCTGAGCAGGTGGACTAGAGAAAAAAGCACCATCTGCAGTGCCTGACAGTGTCGGCAGGCAGGTGACAGGTGCTTCGTAAGTACCAGTGAATGAGCTGAGTGATGTAACCCTCACACCAACCCTGCCCCATGGGATTAATAATCCCTGTTCTCAAAAGAGGGTACCCCAGGTTCCAAGGAAGGAGAGCGTCTTGTCCAGGTTCAGATGGCTAGCACCCAACACCGAGCCCAGCGCTCCCAACTGTCAATCATCCAATCCCCTTAGTTCTCAAAAAAGGAGGCAGCTCAGAGAAAATAAATAAAATTCTTTATTACATCCTAATCACACCGTAGAAATGGAGATTAAGAACGAGGAGAAAGCAGGGCTCTTTCCCCTCCACTCCTCAAATCCCACATCCTGATCAATAAATACCCCTCCCTAGAGACCCAGAAGTCCCAGTCCCAATATAGTCCAGACTGAAGAATCTTGGGCTGACCCCCTCGTTTTGCAGAGGAGGGAAACTGAGGCCCAGAGAATCACCCAGCAAGTTCGTGGCTCGGGAGCCCTGCAGGTCTCCTCTGGCCTCCCCTGCAGACCCTGGAGACGCATCCGCGTGGCTGGCCTCACACCTGGACGCGGTAGCCCCCGGCCCGCCGCCGGCAAAGCCTCCGCACGCCCACCCAGTACAGCGTCAACATGACCACCCAGTAGCCCACGTAGGCGCCGGCCCCCGCGGCCAGGTGGTAGGCCTCGGCTGCGCGGGAAGGGCCGCTCCAGTCGGCCCTGGCCTCCTGGGCCACGCTGCGGATCAGGCCCCCAAGCAGCAGCAGCGCCCAGAGCGCCAGGGGCAGCAGAGGGACGTAGTTAGCGGCCAGCTTCCTCCGGCCCGAGGTGCCCCAGCCACTCTGGTTCATGGTGACCAGCGCCAGGAACTTGGCGGGCAGGAGGCCACACATGTAGAGGGGTGCGTAGAGCGACAGCAGCACCATGCGCAGGCAGCCCCGCAGCCAGGCCGCGAAGGCCGCCTTGGCCAGCGCCACGCCCTGCACGCACAGCAGCACCCACAGCAGCGCCCACGGGCGGCCCGCGTAGAACAGACGCAGCACGGTGGTCGCCACAAAGAAGGGGAACAGGCCCGAGACCACCGCCTCGTAGGTCATCCACGCGTGATGCCGGTGCCACCAGAGCGCATTGTACAGCCACTCGCGGAAGTACGACTTGGACCAGCGCGTCTGCTGGCTCAGCCAGCGCAGGAAGGACGAGGGCGTCTCTGAGTAGCAGCGGGACCTGGAGGTGTACCTGCCCCAGGGCGAGGAATGAGGGCATCATTGCGTGCTCCCTGGAGCCTGGGCAGGATTCTGGGGGCAGAAATGGCCACTGTGGTTGGCCACTGGGGGCGAGTTTCTTAACCTCTCTAGGCCTCAGTGTTCTCATGTGTAGACTAGGGTCCATACTGGTTCCTAAGCCTGGACATGGTTCCTCACTCCTGTAGTCCCAGCACTTTGGGAGGCTGAGGCATAAGGAGTTCAAGACCAGCCTGGGCAACATAGCAAGACCCTATGTCTACTAAATAAACAAATAAAGATGTAAGCACCAATGGGCAGGGTACAATGGCTCAGGCCTGTAATCCCAACACTTTGGGAGGCTGAGGTGGGGAAATCGCTTGAAGCTAAGAGTTCAAGATCAGCCTAGACAACATAGTGAGACCCTATCTCTAAAAAAAATAAAAATAAACAGCCAGGCATTTTTGGTTTTGTTTTTCTTTTTAGAGATGGGGTCTCACATCACAGGTGATATGTGCCTGTAGTCCCAGCTATTTGGGAGGCCAAGATGGGAGGATCACTTGGGCCCAGGAGTTTGAGGTTGCTGTGAGCTGTGATTGTGCCCCTGCACTCCAGCCTGAGCCTGGGCAATGCAGCAAGACTCTATCTCAAAAAAAAAAAAAAGGTTCTTATCTGACAAGGATATTGTGAGGATTGAATGAAGATTAAATGACAAGTGCTTAGGACCAGTAGATAGTATTTGCTCAATAACTGTTAGCTACTACTGTTTTTACTATGACTAATACCATTACTATTGCTGTTTCTAATCACATTGGTTACTGACACTATTAGTAACACTGTCACTAACACATGACTAATACGACCATGCTTACTATTACTGGCAGGCCCTACAGTGAGGAGCAAGATGGGCGCGGTTGCTACTCTGGGTAGTCCATGTATTAGAACTTCTCAAGGGAGCCATCAGGCCTCCTTCCCGCCTTGTGGCAGACATCATTAATCAATCTCTGCGCAGTTTCCAGCCAAGCCCACACAAGACTAGAATCCCTGGCATTACTTGACAGTGTTCAGTCTCCTTCCTATGGATGGATGCTATGTCACTTGGCATCCTCAATGGCCTGCCTGCTTCCGACCTTGCCTCCTGCAGTCCGTACTGAAAACAGCTGCTAGAGGAATCCCATTACAACATATCACTTCTCTGCTTAAAACCCTCCCATGGCTCCCTCATCTTAGAGTCCTGAAGCCTATAAGCCTTTGGTGAGTGGGTCCCTCATTAACCCTCCACCCTCCTCTCCTAATACTCCCCCAGCTCAGTGCTCCCCATCCTACCTCAGGCATTCCACCTAACACTTCACTCCCCACCCCCGGCATTATTTATCTCCATAACACATGTCATTAACACACTGTACGTTCTACTTATTAATTGTTGTGTGTCTCCCAAACTCATGTAATCAATTGGCGTCCCGTCTGTCTATTGCCGTCTCCCTGCAGCTTAAATATTCTAGGCACCTAATGAATATTTATTTGTCCAGTGAATGGACGCATGGATTCCCTTGGAATATCTCAAGTTCTCTCTGGGTCTTTCAGTGGGCCTGGCTTTGCAGAAATCACTCTCCCCTGAACTTCACTTGATCTAGCTCATACTCCTCTGAGTCTCATGGAATCATTGAATTACCTGTCTTCTCTTGAAGAACTTACTAGAGTTCCGGTGCTCCTCTCCTCTCACTTGATTCTTTTTTTTTTTTTTTTTTTTTTTTGAGATGGAGTCTCACTCTGTCGCCCAAGCTGTAGTGCAGTGGTGCAATCTCGGCTCACTGCAACTTCTGCCTCCCAGCTTCAAGCGATTCTCCTGCCTCAGCCTCCTCAGTAGCTGCGATTACAGGCGTGCGCCACCACACCCAGCTAATTTTTGTATTTTTAGTAGAGACGGAGTTTCATCATGTTTGTCAGGCTGGTCTTGTGATCTGCCCACCTTGGCCTCCCAAAGTGCTGGGATTACAGGCGTGAGCCACCGCGCCCGGCCCCTCACTTGATTCTTTCCCCATGGCTCTCTCTCTAGTTAGATCCCATGCCATCCATTTGTTTCTTGCCCTTCCCACTTCACTCCCCACTGTGCTACCTTGGTCTCCATGGCAGAACCAAGTCACCCTATCTCAATTCTGGGTGAGTTCTCCATCCTCACCTTCCCTCTCTTGGTAGCGTTCACTGCATTCCACGGTTCAGTGCAAACGCCACCCTTGTCCCTTATAGTGTCTTTCACTCTCCCCTAATATTTCATGTGGTAGAATCCATTGGCTCATTGCAAATGGCCCCTCTGCCCCTTATGGTATCTTCCTCTCTCCTCCAATGTCTCCCTTGGTAGCGCCCATTGTCTAGTGAGTTACTTTGGATTTGGAGAACTCCCAGCACGCACACACACACACACACACAC